TCCTTTATTAGCAAATTTGCAGATGACACTAAGCTGGGAACGTGTGTTGATCTGTTAGAGGGACAGAGGGCTTTGCAGAGGGACTTGGAACGGTTGGATGGATGGGCAGAATCTAATGGGATGAAGTTCAGTAAGTCCAAGTGCCGAGTCCTGCACTTTGGCCACAATAACCCCCTGCAACGATATAAGCTAGGAACAGTGTGGCTGGACAGTGCTCAGGTGGAAAGGGACCTGGGGGTGCTGGTTGACAGTCGGCTGAACATGAGCCAGCAGAGTGCCCAGGTGGCCAAGAAAGCCAATGGCATCCTGGCCAGTGTCAGGAATGGTGTGGCCAGCAGGAGCAGGGAGGTCATTCTTCCCCTGTACTCAGCACTGGTGAGGCCTCACCTGGAGTATTGCGTCCAGTGCTGGGCCCCTCACTTTAGGAGGGACATTGAGATGCTTGAGTATGTCCAAAGGAGAGCAATGAGGCTGGTAAGGGGCTTGGAACACAAGCCATATGAAGAACGACTGAGGGAGCTGGGGGTGTTCAGCCTGGAGAAAAGGAGACTCAGGGGTGACCTTATCACTCTCTCCAGCTTCCTGAAGGGTGGCTGTGGTGAGCTGGGGGTTGGTCTCTTTTTCTAGGCAACAACAGACAGAACAAGAGGACACAGTCTCAAGCTGCGCCAAGGGAGATACAGGCTAGAATTAAGGAGGAAGTATTTTACAGAAAGAGTGGTCAAATACTGGAATCATCTACCCAGGGAGGTGGCAGAGTCACCATCCCTCGAAGAGTTTAAAAAAAGACTGGATGTGGCACTTGGTGCCATGATCTAGTTGAGGTGTTAGAACATGGGTTGGACTCGATGACCTTAAAGGTCTCTTCCAACCTAGAATTTCTGTGATTCTGTGATTCTGCGATCATTTGTCCTTGGTGCCCAGCTGGAGCAGGAATTGTTTTGTCTCCCTGCTCTGTGCACAGAGCTCACCATCCCTGAATGTGAAGCCCAGACCCACACACTAAAGCAGCACAGAACGTGAAAAATATAAAAACAGAAACCTAAGGCATCAACCTGAGGAATATATGCCAGACCTTATTGGCCTCATGCTCAGTATAGACCTGGGAAAAAAGAAGGAGAGGGGAGACATTCAGTGGTGGCATTTGTCTTCTCAAGTGACAGGTTACAGAGATCTTCTTTCCTGGGGATGGCTGAGCTCCTGCTTGCCCACGGAAAATGAGGAATCAATTCCTCAGGGTTTTTTGCTTACATATGCAGCTTTTGCTTTACCTATTAATGTGTCTCAACCTACAAGTTTTCTCATTTTTCCCGTTCTGCCTCTCTCCTCCACCCCACTGCTGCAGGGAGCAGCTTGGGCTTGGTTGCCATCTGAGGTTAAACCACAACAGTTTGTTTCCAAAAGTCTGCAAATTTGACACACTGGCTTTATCACACTAAGCTGCTCAGAACCATTCTGTATTGCTTTCCCTAGGATTTGCCATATTGATCTTTACAAAGCAGAGAAATTATCTGCTAGGAGAAATATCCCCACTTATAGAACGTGCCAGGCAATGATTACATGAAAAAAAAAAAAAAGGCAGCTTCTCTATTCTGTAGAACTTTGGCAAAACTGTGCAGTGATACTGCAATCAACGCTGAGCATTTTGAATGATAAAGCTAAAGAAAGATACAGTGAACTCAGAGCAGAGTGAGGAGCTGGCAGAAAAAAGGGAAAAAAATTTTAAAACTCAACGGGTTGTTTGGTGAACAATGGAGGGAGTTCTAAAAACATGGGTTATGCGCTAAGCTTCTTCTGATGTTTGAGGGGTATAGCTTACAAGCAGGACAATTTAAAATTCCATAATTCAAAGTAATTTAATGAACTTTATGAATCCCAAGAGAGGCAAGCGATTAGACAAGAAAAAAAAAATCTACTAATCAAAACCTTGATAGGTATCTCACTCTAATGCAAAATCCTATTTCTAGGTAATGTACAAGGCTAGAATGCAAGAGATCTGAAGTCACTTATCAGCTCTGTTATATGTGTTATCAGCAAGGCAATGAGAAGCTCACCTTTATTTGCTTCAATTGTGCTTGGCTAAAATGGGGATATTGGGGGATACATGGCCACTTGTCAGTCTTTGTTTTATGTATTCAGACTGCAAACCTTTCAGGGGAAAAATTACTTCATTACATGTGTTCACAGAATACCTTGCACAGTGGGATTCTGATCTCAGTTGATCTCTCCAACTGCTGCCATAATACAAATAATAAATGATAACATATTAAGACCACCAAAGAACAGCCCTCCAGTGTAATAAATGTAAATCCTCACTGGAGATAGTTAAATCTGCTCTGGACTTAGAAATAGAAAATATACTTCAGGGAATAATCCTGAACCAGTAGGGGCACAGCTGACCTATTTTTATCTCCAGCTCCATGAATCACGGAAGTTAAAATGGACGTATTACAGTATCAAATTTCTATTTTGAATGATATAATAGAAGTGGAAATCTTTTGAAGCTCCTTTCCTTTCAGGCACAGCACTCTACATATTAAGCCCAATGTAAGGTGCTTATCTTAGAGATATGGAATAAAAGCTGTTGACCTTTTAAACATAAAATCTTGGTGAGCTTTGGTATGGCTTGATCTAATTATATTATAATGGACAGAAGGTAATCTCTTATGTACTCTGTCTAGACACATCATCTCTTATCAGAAACCTCAGGGAGAGAATGGAACCTACAGCAGAGCAGTGATGTAGCAATCTTTGTTGAAAGACCAGGATGCCATGGCTTCACAACAGACAGCAAGAGATGCATGACATTGCTAAGCAACGCTAGGAGCTGGTGAGGTTTTCCCTGGCTTCATATGGAGTGGTAGTTAAGGAAGTGAGAGCAAGGAAAGACAGACAAAAAACAACCAAATGATCTGAAGTGCGTAAGAGAGGAAGCGTGTGAGCAAACGGGAAAGCAGGAGAAAGAAGAGGCAATTAGCAAAGTCATTCTAGGATGTCAAAACTGCCAGTCCAGGAAAGCAAAAAGGTTATAGTTTTGGAATAAAAAAGTGATAAAAAATTAATATGCTTATCCTTGGATTTGTCCAGATAAACTTTCATCATCCTGTATTCCTTTAAAATTTGTAATCACATATGGATTGGAAAGTGTCTCTCAGAGCAAACTGTGCTTTAAAGGGAATCACCATTTGTTAAAGCTCTTATCTTGCAGTCGGGCTAGAGAATGTTTGAAAACCATACAAGTGGGTTCAAATGTGATTGACAGAATGTTTAAGCATTTCAAAGGATACAACAATCTGATAAATGGTAAAAACATTCTCTTTGACAGGTTGACAAGTTATTTGCACTCCAGGAAGCAGAGATGTTTATTTGTCTCCATCTTTTCTCTCTGTAACATTAGTTCTCAGATGATAAATAGATTTGTCTCCATGAGTAGAGGCTCCCATATTTTCTTCTTTTGTAGCAGAGATACTACTGCTCATTAATCTCCACACAGCCACTGTTGCTAAAAGCCTTCCCACCAAAAGAACCTCAGCAGACAACATTTGAAAGTACAGCTTGGTTTCTTCCTGAGTACAACCGATCCCATGCTCATGTGCCAGCAAACCTGGTCCAGAACAAAGGTATCACACCAGCCTGCTTCCAATCTCATTATAAAGGGCACAAGCTACACTTCCTAAATAAAGCCTTCAATTCCCTCCTTCCACTGAGAGAGTTCTCTCTGAGGCCTCTGGCTCTTGTGCAGCTTTTGTCTTCTGTCAGAGAAATGCCATTTGGTGAAAGATTAATGCACAATCCCAGTCCATCTCTCATTCAGCAGGGAGGGGGTGTACCTCACCTTGTCTGCATGGAGTAATTCCTTCCAGGGAATGCCTCCTGACCTTGTTTTTTCCTGGAGTGCTTCCCAGACAAAAAGCTAAAGGTATCACAAAAGATCGCTGTCTCTTAACTCCTCCAGGAGAGCTCCTGTGCAACATGGATCACATGATGCAAAGGTTGATGGTCAGAATTTCTCATTGCAATCTAAAATAGTTAAAAAGGACCACCCAAAATAAACCATTTAAGATGTCATTCCAGCAACCATTAGGTGTGCATCATCACTGCAGGAGTCAGGGCAGCACCTACCTTACCACTAGTCCTCATTTGACAAAGATTTTTTTCTAAAAACGAACAACTTAGTTATTGAGAAATTAAAATCACAGGTAAGAAAATGTAACTAATTGACACGGAGTCTATATCTTTGTATGTCATTTGGAATCAAGTAAGTCTACTGCTTTGGAAACTTACAGCAAGAATCGTATGAAATTAACACCCTTTAAAAAGACCATTAATTACAGACTAAAGAAGCTACAATTTCAGTGTCTTTAAACTGTATCCTGTCTAATTCATCAGCAAGAACACAAGTAATTCAGATAAAAACCCCAAACCACTACACTACACAAGGAGCAGTTATAATGCTGCTGATGAAGCTGTGGCTTCTTGGATTTTTTTTTTTTTTTTGTGAGAAGACTCTTTTTCTACACAGTTTTCTAAGAATATTTAGTCTTTAAGTGCCTGCAATGAGTATCTTACTTTGCACTGTCATCCCAGAAGCTTTAAAATTATTCTTTATGTCTCATTGAGAACATGCTTCTTGTTTCTGATAGCTAAAAAATATGTTCTATTAGACTAAGAGCTCTCTACTTGCATATCTGGCTTTATTATTCCAGCATTTTAAACATGATGTATTCAGAGAAGCTTTTACTTTCCTGTTAGAATGAGCCCAGCCCTATCTTGTTTTTTAAATTGTGCCACACTCTTAAAAACCTCAATAATACTGTTACATCAGAGATTTATCCTTTAATGAAGACCAGGAATTACCCAAGAGATTTGAAATATTTTAACTGTTTTGTTCAGGGTCCTCTTGGTTCAGCTGGGGAAAGGAGAGGGTTTTTTGGATCACAAGAGGGAGCTCATATTTTTCTGTTATGTACACAGCAATGTGCAGAGGCAGAGTGGAGAACTCACTGTAAATCCACCTGGTATAGAAATGAGAAAAATCAGATCTATTTTAATAAACAGGTTGGATACAGATGCAAGTTTGAATTCAAATCAATCTTTAGCTAAAGGCTTTCCCAATGAAACCAGGTTGGACCCAGAATTTGTTCATGAGCAGATAATGTCACACTTTTAACTGGGTTTTTGATGGTAAAAACATGCTGATCCCCTTCTGTGAATAACTTCATGGTTTCAGTGGAGCCATTTATGGGATGGCAGATGTCTGCCATGAAGAATGATGGCTGCAAAGCCCACCCTCCCTCTATACACAACAGGAATATACAGAAGTTATGTTCCTAAACAAACCTGGCATTCCCCACCAAGCTCCACCATGTACAGACTTCAGCAGCAGCAGAAGAGTTCTAGGAAGTTTTGGAACACTCATTTAGAGCCCCAAAAGCAAGGATCACCAGCAGAGCAATGGGAAGGAAGAAAATGAGCGTGGTCAGAAGACTTTGGTCACTGTGCCTGCACCCAACAGAGCCCAGAGAAGAGGCTCCAGAGAGCTGTGCAAGGGGCTGGAAACACAGCAAGTCACTTCCACGGCCAAAATCTCTCCTCCTCCTCATCCTCCTCCACAGCTGAACTATTTCCTGAAAACCCTTTTCTAATCTTTAGTCCTGTTGAATCCTAAATGTCTGGATCTAAGACACTTCCATCAGTTCCCATGTTCTCCAAATTTCACACTAAAAAAAACTTTCAGATCTTTTCTGGCACGGAGTCAACTCTTGTCTGCACACCTTTCCAAGCAATCCTGCTCCCCTTGAATTGTTTTTACCTCTTGGAAAGAGTCAGGTCTTCCTCATTTATCCACAAAAACCCACAAAATCACCCCTGTGCCTGAAGGGCCCTGGAGGTGTGCATGACACCAGGGGAAGAGAAGATCATAATTGTGAAACAGCCAGAAACTGTTCCAACTCCAAAATTTTTAATTTTATTTTATCCTATTTTATTTCATCCTATTTTATTTCATCCTATTTTATTTTTTTCATTTTTTTTTTTTTTTTTTTGGTGAAATTCATGTATGGCTTGAGAAGAAAGCTTGAAATTTTTTTCTGTAGTCTCATGCATGGTTTAGGCTTTCCTGNACAGCCACACAACTTCATAAAGTAACACACAAGAATAAGAGAATTACAGAATTCCATCCACAGCCACACAACTTCATAAAGTAACACACAAGAACAAGAGAATTACAGAATTCCATAACGGACACACAACTTCATAAAGTAACACACAAGAATTACAGAATTCCATCCACATCCGCACAACTTCAAAAATTAACACGCAAGAATAACAGAATCTATATGTTCCCATCCTAAGGACTGCAATCCACAAGCACAGTACACACCAAACAAACATGTGGCACTGAACAACAGAGCCACTCTGCCTCTAGCTCCTACTGCTGCTCTAACTTCTCTTGTTCCTTTCACAGCTTTTGTTGTGTTAGATGGTCTGAACATATTTCCCATGGTGTTCCCAGCAGCTCACCTGTGCCCCAGGTGCCAAATCCAGCCTGGTCCATCGGGCAGTGTCCCCCCACTGCTTTCAAGGCTACGCTGCTGCATCTGCACCTCACCCTACAGCAAAACCCCAAATCCTGCTGGGGTCACCATGATATGGGAGCCACCACCAACNATCCTATTTTATTTCATCCTATTTTATTTTTTTCTATTTTTTTTTTTTTTTTTTGGTGAAATTCATGTATGGCTTGAGAAGAAAGCTTGAAATTTTTTTCTGTAGTCTCATGCATGGTTTAGGCTTTCCTGGCAATATTTCACCATGCAATCTAATCAGCTAATCACATATGTCCAGAAAAAAAAACCCACAGGTGCCTCCTCTAGCTCAGTGTATTTTGGCTATTTGCCTGTAAGCGCTCCTTTTTGTGGGCCTTTCAGTCATTGATAAAGTTTTCAATGAGGTCTATTTATAAAGAACAAAAAATCTGAAAGGTACTGTTTTCTGTGTCTGTTTCCATGTCATTTAAACATTGAAATATTTATCTAATAAATATGTTATTAAATAAATTTATTAAATAAGTATTTATTTAATAAATATGTTATTTAAACATTGAAATAAATATTGCTGCATGCTCCGCTTTAAAAAAAAATAAATAACAAGACTGTGGTCTGCTGTGCTGACTGGCTTAGCCACAAATTGTTCCGACATCTCACTAAAACATAAACTTGTAATACCCCAAACACGTATGTAGATCATTAGCAGTTTAAACTAAGTGACATTTATTAATTTTAAAAGGTCAGTCCTTTCTGCATCTAGCACTTGGCAAGTCCACCCACAATCCATTTTATCCCATATAACTTCCCTGAAGAAAAAATGGACCTCCAAATTCACCCTATTCCCATTAATAGATTTAAAAAAAATAAAAATCAAAGTCCTGCAGAGCCACACAGTTGGCCTTGAATGCATCATATACATGCATGGAATGCTTTGCTAATTTGCAAATCTATTCATATTTTTCAGTTTTATTTTAATATAAATGCCATTAAACTCATCATATTTCTCAGTGTTGTGTGGTAATTTATATTTCAATTCTGTTCACATGTCCTCAGTAAACTGCATGAAATCAGATTTTCCTTTAATGCAATGTAAAGCACCATTTTTGGCTTAATGAAAATCATGCATGGATTTGATGAAAAAATAAAAGAATAAAGCAGCATAAAATTTTCTATTCTCTCATCACCAGTTAAAACATCAGTTGAGAAAAAAGAAAACAGAAAAAAATTTGCTGCAGGTTAAAACAGCAGCTGAGAAAAAAGAAAACAGAAGAATTTTATTAAGGTTTATGACATACATATTCATGTAAGAAACGTATGTCTGACCTTTTTGCAGTACCCAGAATTGCCAGCTGCTGGAAGGCTTTGTAACACCCAAAACATGTAAGTGGATCATATGCAGTTCAAACTAAGTGACATTTATTAATTTTAAAAGGTTGTGACATAAATGCTGGTAATATCAATAAAACAACGACACCAGCATTGATATTATGACAAAAACTGCCCACCAAGCTGCCAGAAGCACTGGGCACCTTCCCACAGCTCGCATCTGAGCTCAGTTTGTGCCCAGTAAGAACCTAAAACACCAGGAATATTTCACTTGTGTCAGTCTCACCATTATTTCCAGCGAGAAAGCCCCTTGATTATGGCAGAGCAAAGAAACGGGTGACCATGAATCACATAAGGAATGTTTTTCTAGTAATAGGTCACTAGAGAACAGAGCTTTTCATCTCCATATTTAAGGCAGTTAAGCTACTTCACCATGTCTGACACAAAATTTCCCACTTTGGAAACGAAGTGCCACCTCTGGTTTTCCACTGTCCCAAGGCCTGGAGCCCAGTCTAAACCTGGCAAACCCTGGCAAGGCTTGGATTTACCGTTAGTGAGCCCTTCATTGTCACTGACATATTTTATGAAAATCCTTTCGCCAGGATTTTCCTCCTGAGAAGCTGAGAAGCCTCAGAAAAGAAATGTAAACAATAATTATCTGATGGCTGTGGAAAGTGTCTGAAGATGGTTTACCAACAGGTGTATCTTGGATTGGTTCCATGTGAATTGCTTTTACTTAATGACCAATCCCAGGCCAGCTGTGTCAGGACTCTGGTCAGTCAACAGATTTTATTATTCATTCTTGTCCAGCCTTTTGACGTCTCCTTTCTATTCTTTAGTATAGTTTCAGTATAGCATTTTCTTTTAATATATATAATATGATTATTATATTAATATTATATATATTAATACTCATAATAATATGATACATAATAATATTTATATAATATATATAATAAATTAATAAACCAGCCTTCTGAAACATGGGGTCAAGATTCCCATCCCTTCCCTTGTCAGGGTTGCCTGCTAATCCCACACTTCATGACAGCAGCAAACCACAACAGGATCTGGCAAAAGCAGCAGCCCTGCCTTTGCCCCAGGAGAGGGGAAAACACCACAGCAAGCTGTACCAGAGCCTGAACTCTGCCATCTCTGTGTGTGAGACACAGAATGATATTCAAAATGCTTCTGTGTCAGCTCACCAGACCTTCTCCTAGGGCAGCTAAGAACCAGCTCAGCTCATGCTCTGAGGCTGATGAGATATTCTGATATTCCTCATTTCCTCTTGACCACCTTCACCACCACTATCAGGGAGTTTTGTGCCCTCTCCATCCTCAGTTCAAACCTGAGCAGTGTGCTGGCTCCTCAGTCATCAGCACACCTGCAGTGAAATGTGATGCTGGGACCTTGTGCAAGTAAAAAATGCCTGCTGAATTTTGGGAACTGCTGACTCAGAACTAAGAATTCATGTTACAGAAATGCAAATTTTCTATCCAGGATCCTAAACTTCCCACAAAGCACAAGTGAAAATGTTTAAGGTATTGCTATTTTACCTCACGAACTGAACCATTGTTATCTCTACAAACACCATATTTACTCTAAAATGTTCCCCAAATCTAGCACAATGCCCAAAGTTAGAATGCAAATAATAATACAAGTAACAAAAATACAAACTGACAGGCAGATCAGCACTGCAAATCACAGGCTCCTGTGAAGCTTTTGCATGGCCATATGCTACCTGGTGTTTCCTAAGGCCAAAATTGCCAACTGCTGTCAATTACATTTAAGACAGAAAGAATAAATAAGCTGCAAAAATCCCAATCCTGAAAACATTAAGAATAAAGCTGAAGGTTTTTTCGCTTGTTATATTCTGTTCACTACGTAATGGGAGAATGCTGTGCAATTACACACTTGCAAACCACTGTCTACAGAGAGAATGTTTCCAGCAGAAGAGTAAAGAGTAAACCAGAACCTCACATTAAGGAAAAATGTGGAATTATTACTACAAAATGGAGAAGGATGAGGAAACACAGCCTTTACCTCCTGCATTCCAGAGATATGCCATTCTGTGCCATGTGCAGTGTCCAGCCTCCTCTCGCAGATTTCCTGAGCAAAGCAGGAAAATTGCACTCCTTCTCTTGGGTCTCCCCTGCCACCTGCAGGGATGGGCAAAATAAAACAAAAAAGAATTTGTGACTTTCACTTGTGGCATAATGAACAAAGTATAAGAAATCACCACTTTCTGATTGCACTTTCTGATGTTAAGAGATTAACATGCTCTTCTTTTTTACATTTACTAAAGTGAATAATTTACAATAACTGGTTCTGCTTAGTGGCTAGACACCGCTATCAATGCCAGTGTTTAAATGACAGTACCAAGCTTAAAGCTGATTCTAAGAATCAATTTTTTAAATTTTTAGCAAAGTGGTTGAAATATGTAAGGTGCAACTGACATTAAACACACAAACACAAAATCAAAGCAACACAAGTCTGTCTTGAGACCAGTCCAGAAGCCTTAAAACTTGGAAGATTTCTTCCAAGGATAATTCCCAGCCTTTTATTGACAAAACCATAACAGGATTCATCCACTTGATACACATTCTTAAATGACAAAAACAATGAATGCCCAAGCACTGCATTACAGATAAATCAAGGATAGCTCTTTTCAATGGAAAGCAAGAGTATTTTCTAGCCAATTCCACTGGAAAATAATTCCAACACGAATATTTTTTGTCAACAAGGAGTGGAATCAAGGCAAAGCAATGACAACAAACCTAATGCAGCACACCAAGAGGTCAGACATTAGGAGCTGGCCACACACCTAAAGAAAGGGAAGAGAACAGCCACAGCTATTTCTTCAGTTAAGTAAGTACAGCTATTCTCCAACTTAAATTTCTTGACTAGAACCATCCTGTTCCCATAATAAAACTAGTTATCTGTCTGGGAAACACTGTCTGAGCCAGCCTGCATTTTCTGGGGGCTGCACAAGGGCCGGAGCACCCAGCTGTCTGGATGTCAGCTCTTGCCCTCTCAGCGGCACCCGTCCCTGCACAGCCGCCTTCTCTTGCAGGGCTGAGGCACAAAAACACCAAATGAGTTCATTTCTGGCTCAGGGATTTTAGCCTTAACTTAGGGGAAGTTTGAGGCTCTTTGCTTTGTCTGGCTGGGGGAGCTTACCCTCTCTAAAGAAAAAGCTGCTGTCAAATAATAACCAGTATAAAATTTCACAAAAGCAGTTGGGTCAAAGAAAAAAATTTCATTTCATGTCAATTATTCTCATCTCCTTCAGCTAGCTCTAAGATCTTATAAGACACTTCAGACTCAAATATTTGGCACAGAAGGACAAAGAATTACATTTGACCTACCAACACTTTCCAGACTCACTCCTGTCCTTACTTTTAAATCATTGATCTCTTATATTACAGTATTCCTACCTAGTTTCCACAAAAACTGCTGCACTGACGGCACCTGGCAGCTGCTCAGCAAGGAATTTATAAAGCCACAGAAAGGAGCCTAGTGCCAACAGCTGTGATAGCTTTTAGAAGGGCAAGTTGCTATGTTAGGCAGAAAAGCAGGTAAGTCTCAGTGGAGTATCTGACAAATATTAACCGTGGTGAATTGGGCTATGGATAGGTACATTTTTAGATGCTGTTGGATATTTTACTGAAGATTTGCTTCTATAATACATTTATACTTTATGATAGATAACAGTTCATACTTAATGTTCTATATGATATTCAATATATACTTTATATATAATATACAATATTATATATTATAGTATTATAACTATGTTACTGTATTAACTATATTATTATAGTTCTATTATTATATTATAATAATATAATATAATATATATTATATAACATAATATATATTATATATCATTATATATTATATATTGTATATAATATATAATAATTATATAATACTATAATACAGCCTATATAATATATACTATATAATATTCAATATATACTTAATGATAGATAACAGTTCATTCTTAATGTTCACTATTCAAGATATACTTTATATATATTATATATTATATATTATATATTATATATTATATATTATATATTATATATTATATATTATTATACATAACAGTTCATTCTTAATCCAACTAGCAATTATAGGACCAAGCAATGATAGGACCAAGAAATAAAAATATAAATTTGCAGTGACTGCTGGCATGTGACCAAGCAATGTAAAAGAAGGAGCCTTGCTAGCAGCAGAAACAGCAGCTCTGGCTTCTCTGCACAGCCAGCAAATGTGCTCTGGAGCTTTTTGTTCTCAGTATGGGACAGGCTCTGCCTCTGCATTCCCCCACTCTGCAATCCTCTTTTTACCTATCTGCCACGTCCGCTGAATTGTCTGACGCTGCATTTACACTAATGAGGAGAAGAGCAGCACTTCATGGCTCAGGCGAGTAGGGAAGGGAGTTGGTTTGATCAGAAATACTTTCAAACAAACTGTGAAGTAAATGATCCTCATCCTGAAATAAATAAAATACGGCCTTCCCCTAACACATGTTCAATTGACAAACTTGAAAGCAATTTTGATGTCTTTACCTTAAAGTCTACTTGGATAGTAATCACTATGCTTACTTCTTAAAAATCAAATATCTTTTTTTTTTTTTTTTTCCAGTTTAGGAAACCCCAGCTCAACTTCAAATTTCAGATTTTGCCAGATTTTGTCTGTCCTTTAAAACAGCTGCTAAGGCATTACAGGTGACATCAACCTGCCTGGTTTGTCATTCCTGAGTCTATCTCAGGTCCATAATAATAAACACTATATTCATTTTTCCTGATCATCAGATATTTTATTTGGACCTTTTACAGACCACATAAAGGCTGACAAACACCTCCCAATTTTTCTTTTTTTTTTTTTTCCCCATTTCCCTCTGTACACCAGAGCACTCAAAACTGGGATTGCAAAGATGTCTGCTCAGTGAATTGAATCCCCATTCCTATGATAACCGAAGGATTATTTTTGAAGCTTCATTTCATCCCCTTCTGATAGTGATAACTTGCTTCTTAAACTGGGCAAAATACCTCCCTCCATAAAAAGAGCACCTATATTGATTTTCTGCCTCTCACTCATTTCACATCTTGTTTTCAAGCTCATGACATGGGAATATAATTTTTCATTAACCTACATTAAAAATAATCCCCCATCAGTACAACACAACGTTATTGTTTGGTCAGGAGTTCCTTTTCCTTATTTCAATTTCTCCCAATTTCTCCCAAGATGGACAATGAAGCAGTTCCTACCACACATCACCTGGATTTGGCCTCCTCCATCTTTTGAATGTGTTCCCAGGCTTAAAGCTGTTCAGAATTTGTATAGGCAGGAAAACTCACTGTAATCAATGTGCCAGAGTCAAAAATCAATATTGAGAATTTGAATAAAGATTGTGATGTGGGTGGTGCTCCCACACCTGTAGTTTTATTCCCACCTCTTAATTGTGGTCACTCCACTCTCAACTCCCCATCTACACTCAGCTTCCAACTTGTCAGCATCTTAGTTTCAAAAGGTTAGGACTTCAAGGGAAAAATAATGCTACTACTTGAATTCTTTCTAACTTTTACTGTTTAGGTCAACTAAAAAATTGTGTTTGTCTAGCAGAGAAAAGTATTAATTCCAGGAAAGAGTGTTGATCATACAGACAGCTCTCAAACTAGCACAAATCCATAATTAACAAAACCTCCCCCCATCCAGACTTCCTCACAGTAATCTCCAGAGACATGCCCAGGAAAAAACCTTCAAATGCAAATGTTCTCCAACAAGAAATCCAAAAAGAAAAAAATTAATATATAAATTAGCAGGACAGACTTTTACATCACCCATCTTCATACGAAGGAGAAAGGCCTAATGCTGTTTTCAGCTCCTCCTCAAAGCAACCTATTTCCTTTGGTCACTTTAAAAAATATTTTTGATACAATCAAAATTATTTTTGAAGCACAGCATGCTTCAGCAGGCATTTTTCCAGGTTCAAAAGGTGTCTGCACTTCAATATTCTGTTATGTAGATGCATCAAAAGTTTGCATTTAATTGCTGCTGCTTCACAGTCTGTCAGAAAGTCAGCACAGGAAGCATTGTCTCCAGCCAATTAATCCACCACTTACCATCACATTTTTGTGCAATATCCTGCAGTAGAAATTACATATTCTGGTCCAGCTCCCTCATAATTTTAAGATTTGCTCTTTCAGATACCTGTCAGGAGAGAGATTTCTTAACCAGTAAAGAATACCCATTCTGAAGAACTATGATGCACTGTCCCGAGGGGATTTTTTGCCAAGAGTTCAATTCTTTTTTCTTTTAATTCAAATAGTTATCACTAGACATGCAGTGTTGCACCCAAAGGAGTACAAACAGAAGCCAGATAAGACTTTTTTGATAAGCACTGAATGTTTAGTTGGGCCCTTGGTCTCCTGTCCTACTGTGCTGTCTAACCCTAGATGCAGGGCTTGAACGTCACAGACACATTTTATGAGAAATCCTTTTGTTAGGATCTTTTCTCCTGAGAAGCTGGGAGGCCTCAGAAACGAAATGTAAACAATGTTTATCTGCTGCTGTGGAATGCAACAGGTGGATCTGTGATTGGTCTCATGTGGTTGTTTTTAATTAATGGCCAATCACAGTCCAGCTGGCTCAGACTCTGGTCAGTGACAAGATTTTGTTATCATTCCATTCTTTTTCTATTCCTTGCAAGCCTTCTGATGAAATCCTTTCTTCTATTCTTTTATTTCCTTTAGTAAGTTTTAATAGATAATTGTCTTTTATATATACTATATTTTATGATATATAATAGATATCATAAAATAATAAATCAGCCTTGTGAAACATGGAGTCAAGATTCTCATCTCTTCCCTTTTCCTGGGACCCCTGTGAACACCACCACACCTGAGTAACTGCTGTGTAAAGCAGAACAACACATGCCTGTCTCAGCCCACCCTGCTCACTTCAGAGAGGGAACTCTTCTGTGCAAAGTCCTCTCCTGACAGAGTTCATCTTGAACTCCCCCTCTCAGAGCAAGCATGTCAGCAGCACTCACAGGATATTGCATTACAGGACAGCACAGTGGGACCCAGACCTCAATCACCAATGCAAAAATGGCTTTAAGGAGCTTTTCTCAAGTCACTAACACTGTTCTCCTGTCACAGGGGGGAAAACCAAGCTGAAGAAAGGAAATATCATCTCCTTTAAAAGGTCACTCCATGTGTCACTGGCAAACTTGTGCAGACACTTGGGCAGCACCCACTGCTGTGCTGCAGGCAGTACTGATCACGATCACATGGAGAACAGCCTTAGCCATGCTCACCAAACTGAAAAAGCAGTGCTCCCCCAACACAAAAGTCTAGCAGGGAGCAGCTTACATCACAGGATAGGAGTGACTAACAATGAAAACACTGAAATCACAAAAATAGGCTTTGCAGCCATAAAGAAAGTCCATCGATATTTTAACATTCGTGCATTCTACTTGAGACATTTCTAAAAATAATCATACTGTTGTCACTGCTTTTCTTGACTCATGGAGTGCCAAGAGAGACATATATAGATAACTGAAGCATCAGCTGGGATGGTACCTTTAACTATTGATTGAGTATGATTTAACTATTGAGCATGATTTGACTATTGAGCATGACTTGACTATTGATGGGGTATGATTTAACTATTGAGTATGATTTGACTATTGATTGGGTGTGATTTGACTAAAAACTAGGATTTAGCTATTGAGCATGATTTAAATATTATGATTTAAATATTGAGTATGATTTAACTACTGAGTATGATTTAAATATTGAATATCGTTTA